TTTGGACATGTTATCAGGAGGGACCAGTACCTGGAGAAGGACATCATGATTGGTAAATTAGGGGGTCAGCGAAAAAGAGGAAGACCCTCAAAGAGATGTTTTGACACAGTGGCTGCAACAGTGGGCTCTAGCATCACAGTGATTGTGAGGATTCCACAGGACTGGGCAGCGCTTCGTTCTGTTGTACACAGGGTTGCTACAAGTTGGAAGCAACTCGACGGCACCTAACAACAGCATGGGCTGAGCTCTGTCCTTGTGCTGTCTGTGAAAGGGGGGTATTAAGTTGTGATTTCCTCACCTAGCAGATATGGAAAGAAGAAAAAATGATACTCCCCCCCCCCCTTTTTTCTTTACCAGTAGTAATAGTAATAGCGAATCCATAGGAGAAAGAATGTGTAAGGGCAGGCCTGCCAGGTGACGGCAAGGAGTCCGGCAGACCACCCTGGCTGGCCACGCATTGTGGACAGGCCGCTTTCCTCGTCTGTGAAACACAGGCATTACAAGACACTTGATTCTTGATTCATTTGTTCTTCAACAAGCGTGAGCCCTTCGCTTGGTACCAGGCAGTGACATTCACTACCGTTTGCTGAGGGGACGTCCCCGGGACGCTGCCTTCCACACCTCAGTCAGTCCTTCACTGCCCATTTGGTCAAAGTGGCATTCTGCCCATTGTGCAGAGAAGACCTGAGGCGCAGGTGGCAGTGTTTGCCCGCGGGCACGCTACCACTCGTGGTGGGTCCACGTCGGCCCCCGGGGATCTCTGAGGAGGGGGCAGGGAGTGAGGACAGTGCTGCCTTGCCCACCGCCTTGTGTGCAGGCCTCGCAGGTTTGGGGAGAAAGTGGGTCTTTGGGAAAGAGGCTGCAGTGGCTCCTTCCTTGGCCACCAGGCCCCATCTCCCTTCCGGTGCACCATCTACCCCACAGCAGCCTTGGTGCTCAGGCCAATGGCTGGAGCAGTAGGCCATTCCTAGGGGTTGGTCCTTAGCCATCTTGGATGTGTTGAAGATGAGGTATTGGTTCTGGTGTGGTTTACAGTAGTAGAACGAGAACAAAGAGTGCTCAGCAATAGAGCGTGGTTACTTTACAGACTTCCCACTGGGCCGCCAGCACAGACCGTGGTTTGAGAGCAGTTTCTAAGGACGGTGTCAACGTGTGGAAGGAGGACGCAATACTGGATACAGGGTAGCCCTAGCATGTTGTGTTTAAAATCGGGGGAGCATAGGAAAAGGATGGGACAGAAAATTAACAGTGGTTCTCTCCAGAGGGCAAAAAAGTAACACCGATTTTTAGGTTCATTTCAGTTTGTTTTATATTTTCTAAATTTTCTACAATACATGATAATTTCTGCAATAATAATAGGTTGTTTTCCTAATGAGGGGAAAAACAAGTATTCTCTCACTGAAATTAGTTGAACACGCCCTTGTAATGGCACGTTGGTGTTTCCGATGGGACTCTACTGAACCCCAGTGGATCTGCAGTGCCGCCTCTCGGCATGTCCTTGGTCTCACAGAATTGTTCTCACATAGCGTCGTATCCCTTGCTGCTCTGATTATAGGTTTAACGTGTGTTTTAGTGTGTGATAGATTAACTCTCCCAGTATCACTCCATTTTGGTCGTTTACTTCATTGTTTGTTGCTCTAAAGGATCTTTAACGTTATTTTGTCAATGTACACAAAGTTTTTTGGAAAAAACGGGATTGCACTCGCTGTGAGTTTTGGGGACGATGCGCACCTTTGCATTCTTTAGTCTTCCCATCCAGGACCTTGGAATGGCCTCCGCTCACTCGAGTCTTCTTTTGTGTGTCTTGGTCGAGTTTCAGAGTAGACGTGTTCTTGAGAGAATTGAAAGGCTAACATTTTGCCACAAGAGTGCCGTGATGGAGGCTCCTCATGTCCTGACTGTAGAACAGTGAGATTCAAACGTTGATTTGGGGGATTCTTAGCAGCCTCTGATTTCTTCTCCAGGTGCCCTACGAAACACTGAATAAACGCTTCCGAGCTGCTCAGAAGAACATCGACCGTGAAACGAGCCACGTCACCATGGTGGTCGCCGAGCTGGAGAAGACCTTGAGCAGCTGCCCTGCCGTGGACTCAGTGGTCAGCCTTCTGGACGGCGTGGTGGAAAAGCTCAGTGTCCTGAAGAGGAAGGTGAGTGCTGCATCAATCAGGTCTGTCCCACACACAGCATGAGCCAGCCCTGGGTGCTGGGTGGCCTTGCTTTGCCCTTGGGCTGCAGAGTGCACCCAGCAGGCCCAGCCTCACCAGTCACCCAGTTTGCCATAAAGATGGGCCATTTTGTCTGGGAGCAGGGACACAACTAAGGCTGGGAAGTCCTGAGGTAGATGCGGTGTACTCTGGGGGCTGGATGGAACAGAGCCCTTGATGAACCCCAGGAGCAGGTAATAGCTCTCAGTTCACGGTACATTTTGTAAAACACAGGCATTTCTAGCGTTAGCATTTGCAGCTGTCAAATGTTCTGTAACTTGTAATGAGAATGTTTGCATAGGTGTTCATTCCATTTAAAGACATTTTATGCATTAAGTTAGTAAGGGTTGAGAGTCGAGATTCACTTTTTTTTTTTTTAAGATTCAGTGAATGTTTAAGCTTTGAACTTAAGCATATTAACGGTTTTAAAAGATCAGATTTTATAGTAATACCTTTATTTTTTCCAGGTGGGTTAAGTTACAGAGGGAAAAACCATCTTCCATTCTTTCTTTGTATATCTACTTGAGGACTACATCTTTTTCAAACACTTATTTCACCAAACTGATTATTTCTTTTAAGAATACTGCAGTAGGAATTTTGCAGGAGGTTAGCAGAGCTAGATTTACCCTGAAGCAGGTTGAGCTCAGCAATCCAGACTTTATTTTTGCCGTGCCCTCTTCCTTTTGCTGTTCTGGTCCTACTTTTGAGAAATGAGCCTTAGGCCACTAGATTCCCAACCAGCAGGGCTGGTCAGCTAGCGGCCTCTCTCTTCACAGATCTCAGAGAAGATGGCATCAGAATTCAGCCTGGCTGCTGGGAAATGTGTACAGAGCAAAACCAAGAAATACTCTTTCTCCCATTGTCAGAAAACTTTGGGCCAGCTCTCTCCCACCACAGTACTCTAACCTGTCAGCAGACCTTTACAGAGTTAGGTAGAGCTGCACAGGTGTGATGTGATTTTCTTATGCACATTTCCTAGAGCCCAGCTAGCCAAGACGGGCAGGAGTGTTTTTGACCCCTGCATCCTGGCACCTGCACTAAGCTGGGAGCCAGGCAGCATCACGTTGGCCTCTCGAGAGATCCCTGGAGACAGAATCCAGAGAGCCAGGTTGGAGGATGGGGTGTGGGCCATAGGAAACTACCCTTAGTGAACTTAGGTGTCTCTGAGATTACGTGGACTATCCCTACAATGAACAAAATGAGAACAACTCTCATACTATCTTAAAGGGACTATGTCTTGTCAAAAGAAACCAAGTTTAATAGGAAAGAAGGGCTCCCTTCCAGGCTGTTTATGCTTAAGTGCTGTGTTGAGCTGAGCAGGCCAGCTTCCTGTCCTATGTTCCTCTTCCTATAGGGTCCAGTTTGTCTTGGCTCCAGGAGTGTCCCCAGCCCAGACAGCTGGAAGACCAGGATGTGTAACAGACTGATTTATCATCTTTTGAATTTTGCCTCAAAATATCGCGTGGGATTTCTTGTTTCTGTGACTATGGTATTTGAATTAATCTTCCCACTGAAAACAACCAAAAAAGATGGATAAGACATTTTAAAACATCTTATTAAAAGCATCAGAGAGCTCATGAGACAGAAAGGAATCATCAGTCCAGAACTGAAGGGTAGAGGGAGTCAGAGAGGTGAAAAGGCAAGGAAGCTGCCTTTGCCCTGGGAGTATTGGCCAAGCAGTACAAATGTAAGCTCCTCTGAGGGCCTTGCTGCTGGGCGAGGCCAAGAGGGACAAAAGACCTAGGGCCAGCACAGAGCGGGAACTTAACAGGAGGCCTTTCTGATGATAAGCTGGGGCCCTGGAGTGCGAGACTTCAGGGTGAGGGTGCACCAGAAGTGAGCTTACGCCCACAGAGTTTCGCAGCCCAGACTCAAAAACACCTGGGTGATCCCAGGAACCTTAGCCTTCAGCTTAGTAGAAGTAGTCCCAGCTTCCAGGCATACATAAGCAGAGTAAATAACAGATCCTCCTGTGAGGAGGATCCTTTCAACCTGGGCATCAGGTTATTTTTACAAATAATTATTCAAGTACAATAACCAGCACACAGATAACCAGGTAGCCAAGACACCATGATTGAGAACCAGCAATAACAACAGAAAAAGACTTGCACAGATTTCAGATATGGGAATTATGTACTGCATTTATTCTGTATAAAGAATAAAAAAAAGATCAACTTGAAAATGTCTTTTCATACAGAAAATATGAAAAGTGATTTAGTAGAATTAAAACAGCCAAATAAAACCTCAAGAAATGAAAAATATAACTAAAATGAAAAACTCAGTGTTTGCTTATAACATTTTAGCATTTAACAATTAGACACAGCTGAAGAGAGAATTAGTGAACTGAAAGATAAGTCTCAAGAGATTATCTAGAATGCAGGAAAGAGAGACAATATGAAAATACATCAGAGGTTAAGAGACAAGGAGAATAAAGCAAAGACTTCTGATATTCTTAATCAGAGTTCCAGAAGAAGAGGGGAGAAAGAGTGGAGCAGAGACCATATATAAAGTGATAATGACAGAAATTTCTAGAACTGATGAAAATTACCAGCTCAGAGATTCAAGAATCCCAGATAATAAATAAAAATAAACACACGTAGTATTTTTACATAGTAAAACTAGAGAAAACAAAGACAGAGGAAAATCTTAAAAACATCTAGAGGAAGAAGACTACTTCCAAAGAACAACAAATAGCCTAATAGCCAACTCCTTGACAACAGTTGAAAGCCAGAAACCAGTAGAATGTGCTGAAGAAAATAAGGCCAACCAGAATTCTAGACCTTTGTTATCCAATATGTAGCTACTAATGATGTGTGGCTATTAAAATTTAAATCAAATTGAAAATTCAGTTCCTCACTTACACTAGCTATGCTCCAAGTGCTCAGTAGCCACACATGTGGCTAGTGGCTACTGTATTGGACAGGGCAGATATAGAACATTTCTATCTAACTATATTAATTTTGAACAGAATTGACTTTAAGACAGAAAGCAATGTAAACGATTAAGAAGGTCATTTTATGATGATAAACAGTTTGACTAACCAGGAGACTCTAACAAATTTAAAATTCTATACATCTGGTAACCACCTCAGAACATATAAAGCAAAAAGTAACAAAACTGAAAAGAAGATACAAATTGATTAAGTGGTAAATTTTAATGTGTCTTTGAGTAGTTAATAGAGCAAGCAGACAAGTCAATAAAGATAGAATATGTAATAAACATTTGCCTAATGGACATACATAGAACACCATCCTCACTAACTGCAGAATTTCAAACACTTGGAATATTAATAGGAGTAGGCTATGTGCTGGACTATAAGGCAAATGTCAAAATTATTTCAAAGGATTGAAATTGCATATAATGCACTTAAGCTAGAAATCAATGATGACAATAACAAAGAGACTCACAAACATACAGGGATTACCTGATTTAGAAATGCACTTCTAAATAACTCCAGTACCTGTAACTGAATGATTGAATATGTTACATATTTTAAAAGGATGTAAATTAAACCCAAAGAAGGTAGAAGGGAGGGACGTGGGGGAAAAAAAGGCAGAAATTTATGAGATAGAAAACAAACATAAAATGAAGAGGGTCTACAGAGCCAAATTTGGTTCTTAGAAAATTTATAAGATGCTGGCAACACTAATGTAGAAAATGAGAGGAGGCACACTGAACTGTATTAGGAGTGGGAAGGGGACATTACCACAGACCCTGCAGACACCAGAAGAAGGTAAGAGGATCTTACAAACATTTTGTCAGTATTTTTGAAAATTGAAATAAAATTACCGAATGTCTAAGAAAATATAACTTCCAAAACTAATTCAGCTAGAAATGGAAAACTTGATTAGTTGTAGACCATTACATAAATTGAATCAGTTATCAAAGATATTTCCCAAAGAAGACTCCAGGCCCAGGGGACTTCAGTATAAGTTCTACCAAAATTATTCAGGACAGCATAATTTCAATCTCACACAAACACATACAGAGAATAGAAAACAAGGGAATAATCGTCAGTTCACTTTTTTCTTCAGTAGTTTTATTTTGGAATAATTTTAGATTTACAAAGGGGTTGCAAAGATACTACAGAGAATCAGTCCCATAGACCCTCCTGCTCAGCTTCCTTAATGTTAACATCTTATGTAACCATATTTATCAAAACTAAGAAATTAACATTGTTAACTGAACTGCAGCCTTGATTTGGATTTCCCTAGTTTTCATGCTCATGTTCTTTTTCTGCTCCAGGATCCCACACTGCATTTAGATGTAATGTCTCCTTAGTCTCCTCCTACTCGTGACAGTTTCTGGATCTTTCCTTTTTTCATGACATTGGTTGATTTTTATCAGTCTCACATAACCTTGATGCCACCACCCATCAAGGACGTTCTGAAAATTTGCACAACCATCTCACTCATGGCCAGAGATGCAAAATCTTCAGCAGATCACCACAAACAGAGTCCAGCAATAAGTAAAAAACACTGTGACCACATTAGTGCTGTTAGAGTTTGTTTTATGTATTTTGGAGCCCTGTTGTTGGGTGCATAAATATTTATTATAGTTATGTCCTTCTGGTATATTGACCCTTTAATCATTATATAGTGTCCTTCCTTATCCTTTGTGGTGGATTTTACTTTAAAGTCTATTTTGTCAGAGAGTAATATTGCCACTCCTGCTCTTTTTTGAGTGTTGTTTGCTTGATATATTTTTCTTCCATCCTTTGAGTTTTAGCCTGTTTTTGTTACTGTGACCACATTAGATGTATGATTCCAAGAATGTGAAGTCGGTGAAACATTTGAAAATGAGTCAATGCTGTATATGACATGTATAGATAAAAGAGAAAAATTCATACATACCTAAATAGATGTGGAAAAGGCATTTGATAAAATTCAAAATCCATTCCTGATAAGACTCTTAGCACAGTAAGAATGAAAGGGATTGTAATTTGATAAAGGGATAGCTTCCTCAGGAAACAAGCAAACACGATTCTTCACAAGAGGGTGCCGTAACTTTCCCTTTCAAGAGTCTGAGAAAGGAAGGGGTGCCCAGTTTGCGCTGGACGTTCTACCAGTGCATTTAAGGCTCAGAAAGTAAGTGTATAAAACCATCGTCATTTCCAGAGGATATGATTGGGCACTTGCAAAATCCAAGAGGTTCTGCAGAGCAAATGCCGGAATTAATCAGCAAGGTGGCAGGGTGCTGCTGCACGCAGTGCTATTATGTAGAAATAAGTCACCCCATCTACACCAGCAACAGTTTTAAAATGCCATTGAAATATGTAGAAACTGTTGAATTGGTGTATTTTGCTGTAGGTATTCTCAACAACAAAGTAAATTAAAAAAATTTTTAATGCCATGGAAAATTGCAACCAAAGTATCAAATATGTAGGGATAACTCTTCAAATATGTGCAAGGTCTCTTCTGGGAAATTATGAAACTTTATTGAGACCCATTTAAAAAGATGGAACTAGAGAGTGGTGTGGCGCTCCCAGACTAGAAGACATGGTGTCACTGTGTCACTTCTCCCTGCAGTAATCTGAGTCTTTTCTATCCAAATCAAAATCTCAACACTTCGACACTTTTTTGGGGGGGCAAAATTTGGCAAGCTGATTCTATTATTTACATGCAAATGCAAAGGGCCAATTGTACCTAGCCGCCCCTGGAGAACGGCAGCAAAATGGGAGGACTTAACAGGTATCACACCTCATTTTGAAACTCTAAAGTAAAAAAGCAACGATGTGACCTTGAAGACTAAAGTGCGCCTGACCTGAGGCGTGGTGTTTTCTATCGCCTCATATGCATGTGAAAGCTTAACAGTGAATAAGGAAGACTGAAAAAGAATTGACGCCTTTGAATTGTGGTGTTGGCGAAGAGTATTGAATATACCACGGACTGAATATACCATGAACGAGCACATCTGTCTTGGAAGAAGTACAGCCAGAATGCTCCTTAGAAGCAAGAATGACGAGACTACGTCTTATGTACTTTGGAAATGTTATCAGGAGGGACCAGTCCCTGGAGAAGGACATCATGCTTGGTAAAGTAGAGGGTCAGTGAAAAAGAGGAAGACCCTCAATGAGATGGATTGACACAGTGGCTGCAACAATGGGCTCAAGCGTAACAGCGATTGTGAGGATGGTGCAGGACTGGGCAGTGTTTCGTTCTGTTGTACATAGGGTCACTGTAAGTCGGAACCAACTCAACGGCACCTAACGACAACAGTAATGAAAATAATTGTAGAAGAAGGAGGGGCTTAGGCCAAATGATCTCTGCAGTCCCTTTAAGTTCTCAGATTCTACGAGCATATAAATGCCTCTGGCCCTTTGTTCTTTCTGCACTTCTTGCTTTGTCTTCATTGCCTAGTCCATGAGTTCTGATCTTCTCAGCCCGGCTCACGGTAGGCCTCCCGTCCCTTCACACCACCAGCTCCCACCAGCCCCTGTACACCTGTCCCGTCTTTGTGGAGTCTTTATGGAATCTTAGGCCTTTGAAAAACCATAGGCCCCTTTAGCCTCCGCTCAGTGGCAAAGTGGTCTTGCCCTCCGTTCTGTGTGAAGTCAGGTCATTCCTATTTGGCCAGGTACAGAATGAGCCTACCGATGGCTCTACAGTATTGCACCTGAGTCATGAGGAGGAGCTTGCCTCACCCAGGGCTTATGATGGCAGAGGGCCCAGAAGATTCCAGAAGTCTCAGGATGATAAATGCTAGCAAGTCTAACTTGGTTAGAAATGCAGATCCTGGCTCAAGGTAGGGCACTTAGAGGGTGCTTGTTAGTCATTGGGAACATGGAAGCAGATTGATGTCATTCTCAGGACTCTGCAGAATACCTGATTGTTCCCTGAGAAATAGAGACTGTTTCCATTTTGCCGCTGAAGGAGGAGACCAGCCTCAACCAGTGACTTGTCCCCTTCACCCTGTATAAGAGACCAGATGTGGAGCAGTACCCACGTCTTGTAGGAAATCAGCCCTTCCAGTCAGTTGTGTGGGGTCGTTCTGTTCTCCCAGGTCTAACCCTCAGTAGCGTAGCCTTTAAGAGTTCTCACGAGACCAGACAGTTGGCTGTGCGCCGCCCCTGCATTGTGTGCGCCATCACAGGCCTTGGGGAGAGAGGACTCCTTGTTGAGTCGAGCAGCAGGGCCCCGGCGGCCACACGGCTCAGACGGATCCAGAGCGTGAGCGCGAGCATAGCTACCTCGGGGGCATTCAGCGTCTTTCGAGAGACGCTGTGTAAGTAACATGACCCTCGCTGCCCGCTCAGCCTGGATTCAAGGAGACAGATTTGTATGCAGTGACCCCTAAACTCGGGCCAACTGCTGCTTCATCCTGTGGTCAGCTGAGGTAGCTGCAGCTCTCTCCACACCCGAAGGAAGAACCATCCCAGGGATTCCAGGGGTTCCCAAGGTCATTTCTGGCCACACAGTGGGCACTTTCTTCACAGGTGAAAGGACCTTTCTCCGGCTCTCACCTCCTCCTCCCGCTCAGAACCACCCCTGCTGGGAGGAAGACCTGGGCGCCTCCGCCTCTCACAGAGTCCTGCAGTGCCCCTTCCCCGGGTGACACGGGAGCGCACGCTGGGCTGGTGCGTGTGCCAACGCCCAGGCAGGTGGAGAGTGGCTCCGCCATCTCTGTCACAGCCTGGGTGGGCGCCGGCCAACACAGCCGCTCAGAGCCAGGCGGCAGCGAGGGAGCGCTGTGAGGCCCCGGTCCTCTGATTTGATCTTCTGATGGGGGCGCACTGTGGTGGCTTTTGGCAGCAGCGCCTTCCAGGGAGGGGAGGACAGAGCCAGCGAACAGGCAGGGGCCCCGTGAGCAAGGACACTCCTGGGGACTGCCACTCTCTGGGGCTCGTATGGGCGGGAGCCAGATCCCCCCGGCCCCCCCCACCCCCGAGCATGCCCTCACAGGTGTATACACCTGTACACAGCCTTCCTGGTCACCATGTCCCTCTTCGCCCAGCTGTCTATCAAGCCCCCGTAGAGCTGGGTCCTGTCAGTGACAGTCTCTTGAAGATCGCTGGGAGTGCGATTGTCACAGCTGGTTAAACAGGAGGAGCTGAATTTATAATGGGGTTGACGGGCCGAATAAAGCAGCTGCTCCATCTTACAGAGTAGTTATTCTTCATTTTCACAGATCAGCACCAACTGACCTAATTCTTAGACAGTACACTCAGAGAACTGCGTGCACGCCTGCATTCGGTGTCTGGTTATGACGGTGAGGAGAGGGAAGATCCGTGGAGGGGTGACTTCTGGCTTGGCAGAGGCCCTGCCCCTGCGCCAGCACTTCCGCCCGCAGTGTGACTGTTCTGGACCCAGAGGGGTGCTGCACCGCAGGCCGTGCCTGACCTCGGCGTCCTTCATGAGCCCGTTGGTACATCAGGAGGGGCGCGTTTCACGGTCACATTTAATGACGTTCAGAAAAGAAGAAAGTGCACTGCCTTGGCGGTTCTCAAGAGTTGCCCGCAAGAGCCTGGGGGCTTCAGGCCAAGGTTTGGGGACCAGCTTTCTTGGCACGGGTTAGACACGAATGAGGGCCCAGCAGAGCAGCGCCCCTGATGTCTGTTGACCGTTTTTATTAGACAGTCCTAGAAGACGGGACTCTCATCCCATTTTAGGAAGGCAGAGAGAGGCAGACTGCAGTCCTCAGTCTCTGCTGGAGCCCAAGGACAGGTTGCCGAGCCCTGGAAGTCAGCCCTGGGGGCCATGGTGCCCCAGGGCCTTCTGCAGAGCCCCTCCTGGCTCCCCACGGAGGCACACGCCTGCACACCCCAACTTTGGTGGGTCGCCTGGTATCTGAAGCTCTCTGGAGCCAACTTCCTGGCTACGGTTTATAAAAGTGACTTGTAAACAAGAGTCACAAAACCCGCAACCAAGGTAGAAGATTAACTTACGCTAATAGTATAAATAGAAACATTGGTTTGCTAATTAGTTGCCTGTGCGGAAACCTGGCCCTGCTTCTATCCTCAGCGCTTCCTAGTTCGTAATGTTGGATAGAAAGGAACAGATGCAACACTGCCCCTGCAGGGGTGTTCGCTAGAGGCAGCAGGACGTTCAGACTTGAAAGAACCCACCTTTTTTTAGTATCGCTTGCGTGGAGACACGTGGGTTGATTCTTCTCACAGCTGGGAAGATGCCTCTCACTCGTTTGCTGCTGGTCGTTGTTTATGAGGCGCCTAGTATTCCCTGCTGGACACAAGGCGGCTGCGCCAGGGATGTGTGCAGTCGGGACAGTGACACACAGGCCCAGGTAGCAGTGGAGTAAGGGTTACACCGCACAGTGAACGGCACAAGGGCCCCGCGGCCAAGGGCGCAGGCTCCTTCTCCAGGGACACGAGTGAGGGGCGCGGGTGGCCTTGGAGCTTTATTGGGATGGGGGTGGACGCAACATGTGGCGCCTGTACGTGGGCCAGGCTTTCTGCCAGCACAAGGGATGGGGCGTATGTGATCCTACTAGGTTGTTGGGGACGGGGGAGGGTGAAGACTTGGAAGCACCAGCAGACATCTAGTACAGTCTTCAAGGGCCGCGGTGTCTGACCCCGGGACTCATGATGGTGTGACTCGTGATGGGCTTATGCTGTCCAGACAGACACCTGCTGCTGAGGGGACAGACGGCCGTGGTCACCACGGTTCCTCAAGAGCGAGTCCTGTCGGATGTCAGAGCATTCTCTGTAACTGTCCTCACGCCTGCCCCTCTTGGTCACAGGCCTCTGTCTCTTCACGGTTTCTCTGTATTTTCTTTTCAATCTGTTACTGCAGGTCTTTAATAGTATCTGTAAAATGATAGTGGGACTTGTAGCCGGACCTTTATTTCTGTCACACAGCCCAGTGACATCCGTAACGTTCACGAGCAGTGAGGGTGGTGGCCTGCAGGTTGCAGGGGCTTTTCATGGAGGTGGCAGTGGGTCCCTGTCCTCAGTGTCTTCTCTGTTCTGCACGTCCCAGGCGGTGGAGTCCATCCAGGCCGAGGACGAGAGCGCCAAGCTGTGCAAGCGCCGGATCGAGCACCTCAAGGAGCACAGCAGCGACCAGCCGGCGGCGGCCAACGTGTGGAAGAAGAAGCGCATGGACCGCATGATGGTGGAGCACCTGCTGCGCTGCGGCTACTACAACACGGCCGTGAAGCTGGCGCGGCAGAGCGGCATCGAGGTGGGCCCGCCGGGGACACCCCGCCTGCCGGCCCGCGCCTGGCCCGCGCCTCTGTGCCTGGGTGCCTGAGGCCCTCTCGGGGGCAGTGTTCCGGGTGGTGCGCTTGCTGCCCTAGGGCCTGGTCTACACGTGTCTCCCCCTCCGGTGTTTATGCACGAAGGAGGTCGGTGTCTAAGCATGACGGCGCCGTAGGGCTAATAGTTTATCTTCACCGGTTTAAACACGTTCTGATTTGGAGAAATGTGGAAAGGGATTTCTCCCAACCTGACACCCACGTTTCGCACCATTACCCACTAGGTATGTTTCTGTTATTGTGGGCCCCTTGGAGTTTTCCAAGACGGGTGTATTTCCCGCTGGTGCGCCGTGAACGATGCCAGCGTTAAAGGTACGGAAGTAAATAAGGCCTTTGCCTTCGGTTTCTCCAGCCGAGCGACTCATGTCTCTGACGCTGACACAGGGAGGGTGCCCGCAGTGTGGGAGGCGTCCTTGCGTGGGTGGGGTCTTCCGGGTCCCTGTGCCTTCTCCACCCTCGGGCGTTACAGCTGGGCATGGCCAGCGTCTTGATCTTTCTGCCTTGTCCCTGTCCGGGGTTGCTTCCAGCAGCGCCCAGTGCAGCCCACCTCCGCTTAAGAAAATGTACGAGCCCCATAGTCACTAACCTCCTCGTCGTCACCAGCTGGCCTCACGGCCAGGGTCTACAGAGGCTCGTATCCTTGTCTGCGCATCCTTGTCACGGCCTCTCCTCATCCTGCCCCACTGAAGCCCCTTGACCAGCCACTGCCACCTCTGTTCTCTGCAGCCCCTGACAGTGTCTTCCCCGCCTTGGCCAATCCTGCAGCCCCTGACAGTGTCCTCCCCGCCTTGGCCAATCCTCCTCCTGGGCCTCTGACCGCTGTCCTTCCCGTCTCCTGTCCCCTCCCTCCTGGTGCTCCTCATGGTGCCCCCCTTCTTCCTCACGTGTCCTCCTCCATCTCCTTAGCTGGCCTCTAAACATCGGTGGCCTTCTTGGGCCCATCTTGGCCTGCTCCCCCTTCTTGTCTGACTTACCCCCTGGGTGATCCTAACCCTTTTTGTGGCTGGAAACCCCACCCACGCGTGTGGCTCCCAGCATTGTGTCTCCTTCAAGCCCAGGCTGGGTACTGCTGTCCATGCGACCTCTCCGCCTGGGGTCTCGTGGAGTCTCCGCCCCGCAAGTCCAAACCCCAGTGCAGAGGTCCACCTGCCTGCCCTCCCAGCCCCAGGAAGCGGCCTCAGTGCCACTCGGGCCCAAAGCCCTGGGTCGTCCTCGGTGTCCTCTCCGTGCACGGGGTCCCGCCATGTCCCACCATCTTGGTGTCACCGTCCGAGTCACAGCCACCAGATCACACAGGATCCTCCTGGCTGGTTCTCTGCCGCCACTCCTGCCCTGCTCCCGCCCTCGCCCCGCCTGACATACAGTCAGACATAGAGCCAGACATGCAGTCACAGTGCCTTTGAGGAATGGAAGCCTGGGCCCTTTGTTCCCCCATCCAAGCCAGAGTCCTCCTGGGGCCTCGTCAGCTCCAGCTGCCAGGCTGCCCGCTCTCCCTCGAGCGCAGTGTGCACTCTAGCCACACACTGCCGCCCCCAGCATTTTGCGCTGCCCCTCGACCCCGCACGGTCCCCAGTGCCGCTGCCCCTCGCCCTGTGGAGTCCCCGGTGCCGCTGCCCCTCGACCCCGCATGGTCCCCGGTGCCGCTGCCCCTCGCCCCGCGTGGTCCCCGGTGCTGTGTCCTTGGAGCAGCCTTTCCTCACCATTCCAGGACACAGCGCCCTCTCCACTGGGCCCTGCCTAACCCACTTGTTTGTACCTGCGTTCGTGCGTTGTCAGTCTTCCTGCCAGAAGGAATGTTCTGGGAGGGCAGAGTGTGCAGGCAGTTCTGTATTTAGTTGGCGCTAAGTCCACATGGGTTGGCTGGTTGAATGTGTGAACAAGCTCATGTTTTTGAGAGCCCCCCACTTGCCCAGACCTGTGTAAACGTCAGCTCTGTTCCTCAGGGCCGCCTAGCCAGGTGTGGGGCCCCTGTTTTACAAGTGAGTTGATATGCTCCGAGGGCAAAGCTCCTCAGCCGGTGAGAAGCAGTGCTGGGGCCTGGTGCTCCTGGACACCACGCAGCCTCACAGCCTGCTTCTGGCATCCTCTCTGTGTGTCCACCGCTCATGCCCCTGTATATATTTCTTCTGACCTGGTCCTTCCCCAGAGATACCAGATTCCAGGCCTTTCCCACAGGCTTCCTCTCAGCCCTCAGTCACAGACCGTGTGATGTGGCTTGAGGGGATGGAGTTGGCCGTGCCTCTCCCTGGGGGGAAGATCCAGGCTGAGCCCCACATGGAGCTCATCTGTCCCAGGACAGACCCAAGGAGCTTCCGTGGGCTGGGAGGAGCGTGCGTAGAGCTTGGAGGATGTCATGAGGACCGGGGATTTCACCTGCCGAGACGTGCTAGGGCGAACTTTGAGTAGAGGGATTGCTTTCAAAGGCTCACCCCGCTGCTCTGTGAAGACTCAAAGGTAGGGGGACACCGGGAGGCCGCAGAATTACTCCTGTGACCCAGGCGTTAATTGTCTTGGCCTTGGCTGAGGACGGTGGCAATGGGCACAGTGACAGTGGTCAGATTCTGTCTGTCCTGAGCCTCCGGATTTCCTCGGGTTAGGAGGGAGAGAATGAGGGGCCATAACTTCCCCTCCTCAGACAAGTGTTTTGACTGTTCTTGGGACCGTCCGATTTCCTCTTGGCCCTCAATTCTTGTGACACCATCTAGATTTTTGGATTTGAAATGTTATGCGTATGTTTTTTTTTTCTCATTTAAACTGTTGCTGTTGAGTCAGTTTCCACTCAGGACAAACCCATGGGTGTCAGAGTAGAACTGTGTTCCGTAGGGTTTTTTCAATGGCTGATTTTTGGGAACTAGATCACCAAGGCTTTCTTCTAAAGCACCTCTGAGTAGACTTGAACCTCCAACCTTTTTGTTAGCAGCCAAGCGTGTTAACCGTTTACACCACCCACTGTGGATCGTGTTGTGTTGGCCCTCTGTTGTCTCGATGTCTAGAATGTCCTCCACACACCAGGGACGTGGGGCCGGGTGTCCGTGTCCAGACCCCGTGCTCCTGTCGTCTTCTGCGGCCTCGGGCCCCGGTCAGCTCTGAGTCAGCCACTCTGGCCTGCTGGGAGCTACCTGTGTCCTGGACGCTCTGAACATCGCTTTGGCATGTCTGTCCAGGTCCCCTGGCCCCCTTCTTCACCCCGGGAGTCCTCTCAGAGCCAGGGTCTTCATCACCCTTCAGTTCCAAGATGCTTGTCCTTACTAGTTCTTCAGACGTTTCCCCTCCCCTTTCTCCTTCCTGGGCGTCCAGGTGTCGGCATTCTCTCTTCTCCACTAGGGGTCGTGATCTGTGTCCTGCCCTGCCCGGCCTCCATCCCCTGTGCCCCTGGCGTCCACGGCTGTGCCGCTGTCCACGTGCCGCTCAGCACAGGACCCCCTCTCCTCCAGGCTCTGCCTCACTTGTGCCGCTTTCTGCTCTTCCCGCTTCTCTGACTGTTGCTTTGTTCTTCTCGGCCAGCAGTCGTTCTTCCCAGCCCTTCTCACTGGCATTCCTTCTGCAGTGTCACCGGGAGCCGACGTGTTGACCTGGGACTCGGACCCACGTTCAGGCCTTGCCACGGCCGTCCGGGCTGTGTCCTCAGGGGGTTTCTTTGCGCATGAGGTAGCATGATGTCCCTGGAGGCCGCTGGCCCACCTGGGCTTGCAGCCTGGTGTCGTTGACTCTCTGGCTGGCCACCTTCCCCCTGACACCAGGAAGGAAACTGGGCTGTGGTACACGTGTGCCCTGATGCCTGTGCTGACGGCACCTTCACAGGGAGACCCCCTGTGCCGGGATGCACAGAGGCCTCGTCTGCCGGGGAAGCGTTGGATCCATGCCTTGTGCCGCCATCCTCGTCTTGGGCTCTGCAGAGGGCTGAATTGGGCGGGGAGTCATTTAGCCCAGGTCTTGAGGCAGTTGGATGGTCACGGTAAAGGATGCCGTGTGCTCATAACCATGGAGTACTGCTTGGTGTCTGAAATTTATCGTTAAAATGATTTATTTTGCCAGGCAGGCCTGCCTCAGTCCAGGGGTCTGCTCTCCACCCCACCGCCCCGAGCAGAGCACCAACTGTATGGTCCTCAGAAGCCAAGCACCAGTGCTGCCCTAGACCGAGTGTGCACCCCTTGCACTTAGATACAGGCCGCTTCTTGGGGACGGGAACATGGGGTGACATGTTTGGATGTGGGGGTGCCTCGCCCCATTGGGATCCTCCTGAGCTCAGCAGACGTGGCTGTAATTTGACCAGCCTTGCTAAGGAGACTAGCCTCTGCAAAGAGAGAGCATCAGATGGTGAACTACTGAGCAGAGCTTAGCCAGGATCTCAGGTTTACACACATCTTCCAAAGGGGCTGGAGGGAGCAGAAAATGAGAGTGTGCTGTGTGGGGTTTCCAGGTATTCCTGGGAATGGCGGAGATCGAGGCCATGAGAGCGGCGGGCCCCAGGGTCTGGCTGGACCCTCAGCGCCGCCTGGGGCTGGGAGACATACTCTCTAAATGACTGGCCTGGGGCTTGCTGCTCCCCACACGCAGGCGCTTTTCCAGCGGGGCGTGCTCATGTGGCTCGGGCATGTCTCGGGGTCCCCAGTCTCGGGGACGCCCCTTCAGGATGATTGGCTCGTCTGAGACAGAGACACCCACCGAGCACACAGAGAGTGCCTCATGAGTTGATGTGGCACACCTGGATACAGGTAGCTAAGCGTCTGCCGGGCAGAGCCCTGTCCTGCTCAGTCAGCGGCTGGGCCACAGGCCTTTAGCGCCATGTCTGTTCTCTGGGTTCAGCACCTCGGATGGAACTGTGCTGACTGAACAGTCTGAGCAGCAGGCCATCACTGTGCATGGCCACAGCAGTCCAGGTCATGGTTAAACGTGGCTACAGGTCTTTGAAACATCCCTTTGGGGGGTGTAAGCTGTACCAGGGGTTGTGCTGTAACTCTCCAGGGGACTGGCCACGGAGGGCATCGAGATGGAGACGGCTAGGCTGCGGTGCTGGCCCGTTCCCAGGGAGGCAGGGTGGTGCTGAGGGCCATGGAGCGGTCAGCACGTGACCGTCAGAAGCCAGCACAGCCATCACTGCTTATATCCACCTGCCGGACCGGCCCGTCCCCTCCAGCCTGCGAGCTCCACGAGGCAGGAGGGCCAGGCCTCACTGACTGTAACCTCACTGTGGGGACGCCGCCTCTCCCCTCGACCACGAGGCAGGAGGGCCAGACCTCACTGACCATAGCCTCACTGTGGGGACGCCACCTCTCCCCTCGGCCACGAGCCAGGAGGGCCAGGCCTCACTGACTGTAGCCTCACTGTGGGGACACTGCCTCTCCCCTTGGCACAGGCCTCCCTCATCCTCACATGCTGGCACACGGCCGAGGACTGTTCTCAGGACATGGTGGAGCTCACACTGCAATCTTTTTAGATTTAAAATCATGTGTCTAAGCTACATTAGACCTCCGGGTTCTTCAGTTTTACTCCTGTTATTCAGAGCCAGCCAACAGGGAAACAGGTGGGACTGCCTTGCTAGTCTCTGACCTGAGCTGGGCATTCTCAGTGTGTGGTTTAAACATCACTCTCGGCCTAGTGTGTCACTGCGCGTGCGGGGCCGCCCTCCCTGCTCCACAGGGGTGGGAAGTGAGAGGTCTCCGTGGGGTTGTGTTGATGCTGCGGTGTCACCAAGCCGTGCAGTGTGTGACAGTGGCCAGTGAAGCGGGGTGGGCAGGCTCACGGGCCGTCCTGTTCTGCGAGCAGGAGTGGGGCTTGTGGAGGGCTGGTGGGGAGAGCAGGGACTGGGCACCGAGATGACAGCCAGGGCCCTGTGGGGCCGGGGCCGGGGCCAGGGGAGAGGGTCCTGTTGGCAGGCAGGGAGACTGGGGAAGCATTGGACCAGGGCTCCCCAACACTTCTGCGGGCAGCACGTGGGGAAAGGTGGGTCACTGAGCAGGGACGTGTCCTAACCAGGAAACACTTCCTGTCTTGAAGGACTTAGTGAATATCGAGATGTTCTTGACGGCCAAAGAAGTGGAGGAGTCCTTGGAGAGGCGGGAGACAGCCACCTGCCTGGCCTGGTGCCATGACAACAAGTCCCGACTGCGGAAGATGAAGGTGCGTGGGGCTCCGGGGGCAGGGCGGCGGGGCAGAGACGGGTGCCACCACACGGCACACCGGCCTCCTTCTCTCGGGGCAAGGCTGTTTGGTTTTGTTTCATAGGCCAGGGGTTGTTTGGCTTGGTGTGGCTTTTGGGTTTTGTGGTGGTGGTGCTTGGCGTTTGGGTGAAAGCCGTGAAGAGCGCACCCCCTTCTGCACCTGGGCATGGGTGACTGTGCCGAGCACGGCGTTCTGAGGGAGCGAGTGTGAAGCCGACGGGTGCACGCAGCATGTGGGCACACCGCACGTGGAGGGTCGCTGGGCCCCATCTGCGCGCAGCAGGCGCGTCTTGTCTGGCCGCAGGTTGGTCGTAAATCGCCCATCGAGCTGAGGCACGGAGCCTGGACTGTGCTGTTACCACCAAACACACACACTCTTCCCGAGGCCCGCGGCGGCTTAATGCAGAGGCCTGTTAGTGTAAATTCTAGAATTTAAACTTGCTTACTAAAAGACTGTCACCGTAGGGCTTGCAGAAATGTTTTAACTTACATTAACCAACCCCTGCCTCTGTTAGAAAAACTGTTTGTTTTCTGTTTTCTAAACCGAGTGCTTTTTTAACCCCCACCTCATTTGAGCTTGTTGGGGTGCACGTAGTCCCCTGCCAACTGGACCCTCTCCCCCGGCCCCGGCCCCCGTGGGCCCCGGCTGCAATCTCTGCCACCCAGGGCCGCCAAAGCGAGCACGAAGCGAAGACGGCACGAAAAAGTAGAGCGGCCAGTGGCTCCCCCAGAGAGAGTGAGGACCTGGGTGTGGAGGCCCTGAGAGGAAGGCCGGAATTGGTATGTAACCCTCAGCGTCCACCCCCACTCACCCGAGAAGGAGGGATGTTAGAACGCAGTTGGTATATGACCCTCAGCATCCACCCGCCCTCCACCTCATCTGAGAAAGCTGGATGTTAGAACGGAATTGGTATATAACCCTTAGCATCCACTCCCCACTCACCCAAGAAGGCAGGACATTAGAACGGAATTGGTATATGACCCTCGACGTCCACCCCCACTCACCCGAGAAGGAGGGATGTTAGAACACAATTGGTATATGACCCTCAGCATCCACCCCCGACTCACCTGAGAAGGCGGGGCGTTAGAACGGAATTGGTATATGACCCTTGACGTCCACCCCCCACTCACCTGAGAAGGCGGGACTTTAGAAGGAACATAGATTTCCCATTTCTGCAAGCCCTAACCGTTTCCCAGACAAGGCTCTGGCATCTCAAGACTGCTGGGGGTCCCACTGTGCCCCTTGGCCAGGGCCTCCCAGCTGGCCGGCGGCTCAGAGCCAGCTTGCACCTTGCACAGGGGTGGGGACGACGGAGAAGTGGCAGCGTCGTGCTGCGTTCGTGGTTTGCCGGTGAGCGTCGCCTCTGACATTGGCTCATGAGGAACACGGATAGCCACCCAGGGGTGACTTGTGAAGACCACTTAGTGACGTGACAGCATGCCTATTACAAAACATCGTGGGCACAATGCAGGGCGCAGAAGTGTCTGCACATCTTGTGTGTGTTTGTGTGCCCTTGTATGCACTCACAAACTCACATACACACTGTCACACAGCACACCCATGCACACACTCATGCACACATGCACACATACACAAACACTGTCACACACAAACATGCAGGCTTTCACACAGGCACACACACAACACACACTCATGCCACACACACATGCCACACACAAACATGCACACTCATGCAGTGTCCCAGTGACACACGCACGCACACAGACATTCACACACCGGGGAGCAGAAGCGATCTGGGCGGGACCACACTGGATGCTCACAGGGACCCCCCAGGTCAGTGTCACGGGGGCTGAGGGTCTTCCCGATGCCCTTCTGTAGAGTCACCCAGAGCAAAAGGAGAATGTAGGTGTGGAAGAAGCTTGAGACCCCAGTTTCACATGGTCAGAGAATGCTTTAAAATACTGGGGTGCCTGCTGAGTTCCTCTGTAGACATGTCAGGACTCCTGTGCTGCATGTTGGGGAGAGCCAGACAGAGCCGTCCATGTGGACATGCAGCCTCACTGCTGTGCGTGATGTGTCAACCTCATGGCTCCATGGGAGCATTCGGAATCACAGCACTTAACGTCCGACTCTGAGTCCCCCAGTGTCAGCACACATGTGGACTGTCTGAAAATTGACTTGTTAGAGCCAAGAACGTCTAAATAATAAAAACATGGTTAACATGTACATTTTGCTAAAGCCGTAACTGAGCATCTACCCCAAATAACGAGCCTTCAGAATGCCCCCAGGGCAGCTCTTTTCTGCTTTAGACAGCGTCCCCTCAGCGCCCATTGAATTGGAAGCAGTGGCCATTGAGTGCGGCCAGCTGTGGCTCTCTTGGCCACTGGGCAAGGCAGACAGGGCTGGGGCCAGGACTTGGGGGAGGGAGGAAGAGCAGGCCTCTGGGCGGCCCTGGCCTCGGGGGCATGTCCTCCTTCCACTGGGGAGCCCAGGCCCACTGGTCCTCACCAGCACATCCACACGGAGTCACTGGTCTGCCCTCTCCTCCCCTGCTGGTCTGGCACTGAAGGGAGTGGATGGCGGAGGCCTCTCTGCCCTTCGGGACCCCTGCCAGGGAGCATGGCGGCAGGACCTATTGCACCTCACTGGTTCACAGCAGCCCTGCCACTCAGTACCCGCTACCCACGCCACAGTCCTGCCCCAGGGCCTGGACTGGGCACGCTCACTGCCTCCGCTCTGTGAGGTGCCCTCTGGGTGGTGGAGGGGAGAGGACAGGGAGGCCCCTCTGGTCGGAGCCTCTGTAGTCCCACCCTGACAGGAGGGTACTTATTTCTGCCCTCACCACCGTCTCTGTCACCCAGCCTGGCTCCCATTCCAGCCTCAGCTCTGTTCAGAGCTGCTGCCAAAGAGGCTGGGTCTGTGGAGCAGGCAGATGGCCACTAGGGTGGGCTGGAGGCAACTCCCTGAGGGGCCAGGTCTGTAGAGCAGGCAGGTGGCCAGCAAGGTGGGCTGGAGGCAGCTTCCTGAGGGGCCATGTCTGTGGCCAGGGGCCAAGGGTCGGGCCGGGAGTGTTTCTCAGAAGACCAGAGGGCACACCATGGAGGCCGACATGGGAATGCTCAAAGTTATTGGTAAACTTGGAATTGATGTTTTTGACGTTTTAGGTGGATTACTTATTTGCTGTGTAGAATTTCTGTTTCATACCATCTCGGGACCTGGATACAGGGGGACTGAAAACAACAGGAGAGAACACCAGGATTTGACTCTCCTTCTGCTAGCTCCGCACACCCTGTTTCTCGCTGGAAATACTGAGTCTTTATTTTCTGAAACCATGTTGAAGATATTATGGTTTAAGTTACTATTTCTGTAGAACAATCCAGTTTTTCATCTGAGGCTGCAAAAGTTAATTTAGCATGTTTGTCCCTGTGCTCCAGCCGCAAGGGTTTCGGCCAGAATGTGATTGATAGAGTTAAGGTCTCTAAGTTAGCTTGTAGGTTTGCCCAAAAGCCGCACCACCCCAGTGGTCCTCCTCCAGCGTTCCATCAGTCTGTGTGTGGCTCTTTCAGTAGGCCCGTCCCAGAGACCGGCAGAGTGAGTCCTGACTCCCCCAGCCTCCCGCCTCTGTACACACAGCACCACCTGCTCCGGCCCACGCCTCTCACCCTCCGTGTGGGTCTGTCAGCAGACCCTGGGCTTCTGCTGCCTCTGAAGGCTTCCAGCGTCTCACCAGTTCTCGGCCCCTCCACTGTCTCCACCCCGTCCGAGCCAGCCCCGTCCTTAGTGGAGCCTGCAGGCACGCGCCCACCTGGGCCTTCACGCTGGCTCTTCCTTCTGCCTGGAGCCGAGCCTCTCCCCAGGCATCTGCACTGCTCCTCCCTCTCCCCCGCAGGCCTTGGTCATCTGCTCAGCAACACCTGGATACTGCCCTACCATGTGTGCATGTGCACGCGTCCTACACCGGCCAGACTCACTTCCCTTGTTTACTGTCTCCTCCCGCCAGGCGTCCGCACTCAGGGGCCGAGACTTGTTCCCAGAACAGCCTCTGGTGTGGGGCTGGCCCCCGGTGCACACGTGTAGAACAAAGTGGATATCTGGGTGAAAAGTGTCCCATGTGATTCCGAGGCCCAGCTAGCTGGGGACCCCTGGCCCAGGCTGTTGGTGAAGAAGAAGAAATAGACCTCGGTGAAGAAAGCGTTGCCTGGCGTGCACATGCTTTCACGGCTTCTTGTGATAACAAAGTAGAACCCAGAGGCTTCTTGTCCTTGTAAAGAGTTTGTGACTCTTCCTCCTCTGGTTACTGATTTTACTTGGAGGTGACAGTGTTCTGTCAGTTTGTGAACTGAGGTTTACAGCTCCTGGTGGAGACATCTCCTGCCCCACCGGAAGCTGCACACTGCCTCCGGCTAGCAGCTGCTTCTCCACAGCGTGGGCGCCTTTGCACATGGGTGTCCTTGTCACGCTCACTCAGGGCCTGCACCCACTGCTCCATCACCCAGCCCTCCCCCAGGGCCTCACCCCATGAGTACACCCTCGGCGCCCACCTGCTCTCAGCGCTGACCCACACTCTACACTGGCAGCGTTAGGAGAGGCCAAGCTCACTGACTGCAGAGTTGACGCCGTTGGAAAGTGCCTGGTGCAGAAGTGTGCGCACATCAGGGCCGCGACTACAGTCGGTGCTGCCGCCGCCCCAGAAGATGCTACATGAGCTTTATCTTGTCTTTCCTCAGAGCTGCCTGGAGTTCAGCCTGCGGATTCAGGAGTTCATCGAGCTCATCCGGCAGAATAAGAGGCTGGACGCCGTGAGGTAGGCCACCGGGTGCTGTGCCGCGTCACCAGCAGGGGTGGGTCACCAGGAACCCTGCCTGGCAGGGACACCATGACCCTGCGCCCTGCCTGGCATCACGTAGGTGGGCACCTGGGTCCTTCCCTTCCTCTCCTCGCCCAACGAGAAGTGCCCTCCCCCCTGCACAGTCCCCTCATGGTCTGGATTCTGGGGAGGAAGTGGGGTGTCCAGGGCTCCTCTCCAGCCCTGGGGTGGCCTGGTCCTGCCACTGTGGAGAACTCTGATGACAGGAGCAGCAGTGGGGTGAGGCCTGGAAAACGGGGGCTCCCAGCTCCTAGAGTGGCTGTCGGGGGAGCATCCAGACCTGTGAGGCAGCGGGTCAGAGGTGGAGGAGCCCACCTTGGGGGTCACGACTTTTATTTTGTTTTTCTCTTAAACCACCCATACAAAATACATGCACTTAATGGGGTTCTGAGTCCTGCGGTCTCACTTTGTGAGGTGCAGGTGACTCCCCGTTGCTTAGGCACGTGCCTGAGTAGGTTGGCCCGCAGCAGCGAGAGGGCGGGAAGCCAGGTGTGGTCATCGGAGGAAGCAGCAGCACTCAGAGCCTCTGGGGCTTGCCGGGCATGGCAGGCAGGGCCCTGGTGGCCTGTGGTCTCCTTGCCTCGTCTGCCCCATGGAGCTTCTCTGACCCCAGGGACAGCTCTGGACTCTGAGCAGTGTGCTTGGCGCCAGGCTGGGAGGCATGGGCTGGCTGCCTGCAGGCCCAAGGTGGGGCTCAGCCTGTGGGGGGCGGGCAGATCAAGCACCGGGGACCTCCATCCGTTGTGTCCACAGAGCGTCGGGCCCCACAGAAGTCCTGTGCACTGCCTTCCGCTTGCTTCCCAGCAGGGCTGCGGAGGGCTGCTGCGCGCAGGAGGGCTCCCGCCCTCGCCACGTGTGTGCCCGCCCTTCAGAGGCCCGCTGCCCATCCTGGCCACGGGCAGCTGGCGGCAGAGAGCCTGCTCCTTGAGTTTAGAGGTGTGCTCACATTCGCAGCCGGCGGACGGGCCCACCTGCCTAAACCATGATGTTGGGAGCAGGGAAGGGGGCTGTGAGTGTGACCCGGCTCTCACACTCTCCTCAGAGGTGCCGCAAGACGCCGTGGTGCCTGTGGCAGGACAAGCTGCTGGGCAGCGTGTTGAGATAATACATGTTTGCCGAAAGACGCGTGCCAGCACTGCACTGTGCTTTCAGAAGCACCCAGACCTGGCAGTCGCCCCCATGTTCCCCAGAAGTAGACTGCATGCGTAGCCACGGTGAGCCTATGAAGGATGCCCTACGGCTACAGCGGGGTCCAGTGAAATGCTGAGCCAGAGGCAGCGAGACTGGCGTCCACCTGTGGGCTCGTCACCGAGGAGGCCCCACAGCATCCGCGGGCACGCAGGCTCAGCCTGGCGCTCCCAGCCCCGGAGCCTTTGTTCCTTCCGTTCCCTTCCTTGTGACGTCCTCCTGACCCCTGTGCTTATTTCAATGGACTGAAGCGTTTGTGCACGGAGGAGTAGGTGTGGCAGGGAGGGAGGCATCTGTTCTCTTGTAAGCTACCCTGACGTAAGCTAGAAAGTCAGCGTTTTGGAGGCTTCTGTCTTGCTAGTGTTGCTAAGTCGGGGACACGACAGCAGAGATGTCCCAGAGGCCCCAAAGGAAGGTGTGCAGCTGCCATCATGGGCCTCCGACGCCAGACAGTGGGGAGCACAGCGAGCTGACGGGCGGCAGGCAAAGCCCTGTGTCAGTGGCCCTGACTGTGGGGCTTGGGCGCAGCGCCTTGGGGAAGAACCTGGAGGGAAAACAGCCTGAGGGGCTAGACAGAGATGCAGCAGAGACCATTTGCTCTACGGTTGAGGTGGCTCATCCTGAGCTTCATTGTTTAAGATTCGATCTTACCCCATCTTAGTCATCTAGTGCTGCTGTAACAGAAATACTGCAAGTAGAGATGGCTGTAACAAAGAGAAGTTTATTGTCTCACAGTCCAGTAGGCTACAAGTCCAAATTCAGGGTGTCAGCTCCAGGGGAAGGCTTTCCCTTCTCTGTTGGCTCTGGAGGAAGGTCCTTGTCATCAGTCTTCCCTTGATCTGGGAGCATTTCAGCGCAGGAACCTCAGGTCCAAAGGACGCGCTCTGCTCCCAACACTGCTTTCTTGGTGGTATGAGGTCCCCATGTCTCTGCTAGCTTCTCTCTTTTATATCTCAAAAGAGAGTGGCTTAAGACACTACCTAATCTTACAGACGTTATCAGTATATAACTGTTGATAATCCATCTTATTACATCATAGTGATAGCATTTACAACACATAGGGAAATCACATCAGATGATAAAATGGTAGACAGTCATACAGTACTGGGAATCATGACCTAGCCAAGTTGACAGATATTTTGGGGGGACACAGTTCAGTCCATGACACCCCTGCTTCCCTTTGATGTGACTTGGCAGAGCCCTGAAGCTTAGGTGCCTGCCCACACTGTGTTTTAAAATTGGCACCCAAGTGTCCTTAGCAGCTGGCTGCCTTCATAATTCATCACATACTTTTCCTGTCCCCTGGGGATTACACTGCCTGCATTTCCCACCCACCCCTTGCGGAGCCAAGAGTGCCGACTGACCGGATGTGTGCACACTCTGGTTTTGGTGGGTGCTGCTGCTCTGTTCTCCTACTGTTCATAAGGTTTTCACTGGCTAGTTCTTTTCAGAAGTACACCGCCAAGAACCATCAAAAGAAGGTGGAAGGAATACAGAGTGACTATACGAAAAAGAGTTGGTTGACCTTCATCCATTTCAGGACGTAGCACATGATCAGGAACCGCTGGTACTGAAGGAAGAGGTCCAAGCTGCACTGAAGGCATTGGCGAAAAACAAGCCTCCAGGTATTGATAGGATACCAATTGAGATGTTTCAACAAACGGATGCAGCACTAGAAGTGCTCACTCATCTGTGCCAAGAAATTTGGAAGACAGCTACCTGGCCAACTGATTGGAAGAGATCCATGTTTATGCCTATTCCCAGGAAAGGTGATCCAACCAAATGTGGAAATTATCGAATATCGTTAATATCACACGCAGGTAAAATTTTGCTGAAGATCATTCAAAAGCAGTTGCAGCAGTACATCAACAGGGAACTGCCAGAAATTAAAGCCGGATTCAGAAGAGGACATGGAACCAGGGATATCATTGCTGATGTCAGATGGATCTTAACAGAAAGAATACCAGAAAGATGTTTACCTGTGTTTTACTGACTATGCAGAGGCATTCAACTGTGTGGATCATAACATTGTGAAGAATGCAAATTCCAAAACTCTTAATTGTGCTCATGAGGAACCTGTACATAGATCAAGAGGCAGTCGTTCGAACAGAACAAGGGTATACTGCATGGTTTAAAGTCAGGAAAGGTGTGCGTCAGGGTTGTATTCGTTCACTGTACCTATTCAATCTGTACGCTGAGCAAATAATCCGAGAAGCTGCACTACACGAAGAAGAGTGGGGCATCAGGATTGGAGGAAGACCCGTTAACAACCCGCGTTATGCAGATGACACAACCTTGCTTGCTGACAGTGAAGAGGACTTAATGTACTTACTGATGAAGATCTAAGACCACAGCCTTCAGTGTGGATTACACCTCGACATAAAGAAAACAAAAATCCCCACAACTGGACCAATAAGCAACATCATGATAAATGGAGAAAAGATTGAAGTTGTCAAGGATTTCTCATTTTACTTGGATCCACAAACAACACCCATGGAAGCAGCAGTCAAAAAATCAAATGACACATTACATTAGGCGTATCTGCTGCAAAAGACGTCTTTAAAGTGTTAAAGAGCAAAGATGTCATCTTGAAGACTAAGGTGTGCCTGACCCAAGCCATGGTGTTTTCAGTGACTTCATATGCACGCGAAAGCTGGACAATGAATAAGGAGGACCGAAGGAGAATTGACGCCTTTGCATTATGATGTTGGCGAAGAACGTTGAACATACCACAGACTGCCAAAACAACAAACCAATCTGTCCCGGAAGAAGCACAGCCAGCACGCTCCTTGGAAGCAAGGATGGCGAGACTGCATTTCACAGACTTTGGACATGTTATGAGGAGGGATCAATCCCTTGAGAAGGACATCATGCTTGGTAAAGTAGAGGGTCATCAAAAAAGAGGAAGATCCTCAATGAGATGGACTGACATAGTGGCTGCAACAATGGGCTCAAGCATCACAACGATTGTGAGGATGGCGCAGGACTGGGCAGTGTTTTGTTCCATTGTACATGGGCTGCTTTGAGTCGGAACTGAGTTGTCAGCACCTAACAACAACAGCTGCTCTGTTGGCGACCTGTACTGGCACCACAGTGTCTGTCAGAATCACGGTGGGCTCAGATAGGGCAGGGGCCACCAGAAGGCAGGACGGGCCAGGAATGCCAGCTGGGTCGTCTCCTATGGGAGTGGACACAGGGTTGAGGCACAGTGGAGTCTGAGCCTTGCTCGCTGCCCATGGGGGCTTCTGACTGGCTTATTGCTCTGAGAGACCTTGAGTGGGTGCCAGGCACCATATCTGCTTCAGCATCTACCTCTTCCCAACCCCCAGTATGAGTGCCTGGTGGTCTGAGGGCAGCTGAGAAGCGTCAGACAGTTCTGGTAACATCGAGTGGGCCGGGTCCCAGAGGAAGGAGAGCCTGAAACGGAAGCCGACACGATCCTCTCGCGTTTATTCAGCAGTGCTCTGTGGGGGGGCATCCCAGAGAGGGCGCCAGTAGACTCATAGGGGTTCAAGTTCATTTTAAACCAAAATAAGACTCGGAGGATTCGGGGCGCGCACCACTCTCGACCCCAGCCCTGCCCGCTCCGAGGGTTTTGTGGACAGCGCGCTTGGTGCTTTTTACCTCTGCTCCCTTTACTGCCTGGGTGGGAGCAAAGGCCCCTGCAGCAGGCGCCCCCAGCGAGCAGATGGCGTGAGCAGCCTCGGGAGCGTGAGGGCCCCCAGGCTGTCACATCGACACGCGGGGCAGGGCGGGGTGACTCATTTTTTACCTAGACTCGGACATAGAGACTGTTAGCTCACTTCTTAAAGATGGAAATGCAGAAATTTAAATGTGCCAAACTGTTGTTTTCTAGACACGCAAGAAAGCACTTCAGCCAGGCTGAAGGGAGCCAGCTGGACGAGGTCCGCCAGGTCATGGGCATGCTGGCCTTCCCGTCAGACACACACATCTCCCCGTACAAGGTAATAGCCCGCCCGCGCCCTGCCGCCCGGGCTTCCTGCTACCTGAGGTGTGCGGGATGTGTGTCCGGTGTGTGAGGACACGGGGACTGCTCTGAAGGTCTGTCTGGTCACTCCCACGTCCCACTCCTGGGCTGTCCACAGGCTGGTCCCATCTTATTCTCACTGTGCTGATGAGACATTTGGTTCAGGAAGGTTCCAGAACATGCTTAAGTTCCCCCAGCTGTCACCACCCCAGGCTTGTCTTACCCCAGAGTTGTCCTTTCTGCATGTTCTTGCCCCGGGTATGAGGCAGGATGGGATAGTATAAAGAGAACCCCACCTGCCCTCGTCCCCGCCGTCACACCGCCTCCACACCCACATACTGAGGGACCTGGGGACAAGGGGCGCCGCTGTCAGGACTGAGCTCAGGACTGCACAGCCTTGACTATGGTGGTGGCAGGATTTGTTCACTTGGTCACGCCCAGCATCTGCAGCGTCACCACCACCATGGAGTGGGAGGGAGAGTGAGAACTGAGAGAAGGCGTCCTGACACTGGGTGCCCTGGAGGGGCCACGGGTGGGGACACGACTGAGCAAGGAGAGCTGGAGGCCAGGCGTTGGGAGCGCGGCGAGGCAGAGGACTGGAGGCAGGCTCGGAGGGCGCGATGGGAAGTCTGAGCTGGGAAGTGTCCACTGAGAGCCACAGTCCAGCCGGAGCTCTTGGTTCAGACAGGCCTGCTGTGCACGGTCTGGCCCACCCCACAGCAGGTGCTCACGGAAGCCTGTGGTTTTCAGAGTCAAAGTCAGGGCCTTGATTTCCTTGCCCACATGAGTAACTGAACCTGACCAAACTTGCCTAACCTGCGCTTCTGGAAGTTTCTTTTCTCAGTGAAGGACACTGTGTGCATCCTTGTCAGGCCTCTGACTCCCCAAGTGCCCTGGAGCCCCCCCTCCAGTGGCACGGCCGCCCCCTCACCCTCGTCCAGACTCTCTCCGTATCGCAGGAGCACAGCCTCCCCACCCCCTGCACCCATGAGGAAGCAGAGGCCTGGAGAGGATGCCAACACCATGTAGAGCGGCAGTCATGAGTGGGTGCATCCTCCGGGGTCAGGGCCCCCTGCTGTACCCGTGCTAGCCGTCCCCAAGGTGGGCCACATCTTCACGTCCCCACGAGCTTGGCAAGTAGCATTGGGTTCAGTCAAGGTGCACATGGGGTCAGCCGTAGTCAAGCCCCTCCAGATAGACGCATGGCTTAGGTCAGAGGCCAGTGAGAGCCCTGAAGAATGGCCAGCACCTTCTGAGGCGGCGCCGGGACACAGGCCCAGCCGGGAAGGAGGAGGCACGTGTCTGCTAGTCCTTCCACCCATCCTCTCATGCTTCCGTGGGAACAGCACTCTGATTGACCTGCGTGGCTGTGTTTTAGAATATCCTGAGCCCTGTCAATGGCTTATTAGGTGGGTGGCTCACGTTTGGAGGCCAGACACCGAGCACCCCAGAGAGGAGGGCAAGTGGGCATGCCAGGACCTGCTCTTCAACAGCACGCGGGCCCGGAGGTGTGGTGCAGAGGCTGCCTGGGCTCCCTGGCCCTTCTCCGCTCACTTGGGGCTCCCAGAGCTGTGGCCACCACTCCTCCCACAAGCACAGACCCGACCACTGCCGTCGCCTGGACCTCCTGCTGGGATGGTGGTTGTGAGTGTGCTGCTGGTTTTGTTGAGTCCACACTGAGCCCCTGCAGGGTGTCGCCGCCCACCGTGGTGCCCCCATGCAAACAGCACAGTGGTCGACAGCCCCTTCCTACCGCAGCTCATGTGTTCTTTCTGCAGTTTTTGATTGTCTCCCTGCCTGGGACTTAACCTGTCCCGGGCATACCTTTAATTCCTTCCCCTTGAGCCGTCGTACCCCATTTTTAAGGGCTCTTTTCCAGGGAGACCTCCGTCACAGCGCCTCTGGCCACCCTCTGGGCCCACCACTCTCCCCTGGGGTATCGTTTGGGAGGACGGAGGCCTGCTGAGAGCCCTGTGTTCCTTGGCACAGGGCCTGTTTTTCTTTTGGGGGTTTTGGGATCTTTGCCATAGCCCCGGTGCTCTGAAGCTTCTCGATCATGTGCCGTGGGTGGGGCTTTGTACTTGTACTGCACAGAGAGGCCTTTCCACCTAGAAACTCCCGTCTCCAGCTCTGGGAAATCCCTCTCAGCTGTTTGCAGCGTCTTCCTTCAGTCAGTCAGACGGCCAGCGGCCTCTGCACCTTTCTGGCTGGTGTTTTAGCTGTGAACGTGCACCCTCTGTCTCTGCTAACGAGCAGCTTCTCGCGGTTGGTTGATTCTCTTCCCTTGATCATTTCTGCCCCCCCGGCCTCGTTTTCCTTTTTATCCTGGTCGTTCTCTTTCCAGGGCAGGACTGCTTCCCACACCTCTGATCCTTGAAGAGGGTCACCCCCATCCTTTCTGCCCTTGTGGGTTGGTATCTTTGTAGTTTCTTGACTGTGGAGTCTCAGGAGGTGAGGACATGTTGTCGTTGCACCCTCGTTAACCGGAAGCCCAGCTCCTCTGAGTCAGAGCATTGCAGAGCCTGAAGCACCTCGCCCGCCTCCTCGGCCTGGTGAACCTGCTGCTGCCAGGATCCCGTGTGCGTCGGCTCTCAGCCGTCCCGCAGCTGCCCTTTCCACACAGCTCCGGGGAAGAGAAAGGAGCACAGTCTTCTTCTCACGGATCACACGAAGTCTGATTTTTGAGCCTTGAAGCTGGCTGGCTGTCCTGTAGAACAACATGCCAGAACCCAGGCTGCTTCCCCTGCAGCCCCCACTGTATGGGAGAGTGTGACTGCAGGCCTTCAGAAAGGCTGGCAAAGCCTTCTCTGCCCTGACTGAGTTCACACAGTTCTGAGGTTTCTGGAGCATCGTATAACAAAAAACAGCCGCATGGCGTTGCAGAGCTCTTCGGATTTGAAGTCATAGCACTTTGTCGGTCTGGAGAAGACTTAGAAATGCAAGAAGGTTACCTGCTCCAGAGGTGAGACATCCAGTTCAAGGTGGAGCCTGGAGCACGTGTGGCTCCCTGTTCTGCTGAAGACGGCAGTATAGTGGTAAGGAGTGAGGAAGGACGCGGTCCCGCCTTCTTGAGCAACGCCAGCTGAGGACAGAGGGTGGAGCACGTGCAGGAGCTGGGCTGGAAACAGGAGAGGCTGAAGGCAGCAGAGAGAGCAGCTGGGGCAGGAGCCTCACCAGCGTCAGCGGGCCGGGCGCCTCACCAGCGTCAGCGGGCAGGGGCCAGGCGCCTCACCAGTGTTGGGGAGAAGCACTTGGGCAGCCATGCAGTGCTCCCTCCACTGAGCAGAGCACCTCCACTTGGCATGTGGGGCTCCCTAGCATAGCAGCTGGTGCCCACCCACCCACCCTGATTCAAGGCAGCTGGATGACAAACACATCCCACGTGCACATGGCTTCAGACAACCAAGCATTACCAGACATTCAGAGAAACTGCAGCATGGAAAGGAAAACACAGATAAACATGGGAAAACTGTGTCTCAGAGGAAATGGGTAGCTCAGGGCACAGAAAACTTTTAAAAATTCTAATTATATCTTCAGAGGAATTTGAGACAGTAGCGTATCCTAGAAACAAGAACAAGATGCTATGAAAAGTGGAGCGAAGAACCAGAACGCTCTTGAAATACAATAGAGTTGCCGAAGTACGAGCGAAACCCTCGCCTCACGGTGACAAGTCAGTAAGCCGGGTCTAAACAAGATCAAGCAGGATACACTGTATGGCCGTGGCCGACCGTGGCCGGAAAAGTCAGGGGTTCCTGAAGAGTGGAAGGCCGGGCCAGGGGCTGTGCTTTTCGTTGTGAGCACTTCTGGACTGTGTGTTTAATCTTGCACGTGTTTTACTTTGATAAAAAATTTAAGAAAATGTTGGCGTTAAGTGTGATGCCCTGAGGAGCTCGCAGAGAATGACTGATCTGCCCACTTCACGACCGTCTCCCTCCCTCGGGGGTGGCTGTCCCCCTGACAGTTTGAGGAAAGCCTTTCCAGACCTCTGGGCTGAGGTTGACGTTGGTATTCAGGTTTTCTCTCTCTCTCCCCCTCCCCTGTACCCAACAGTGATTCAGGAACAGATGTTAACTAAATGTGCGTTTCCACTGTATGGTTCTTTCAACCTGAGGTGGAATTGTTATTTCCACTTTAACAACAGTTTCTCTGAAATAAGACTTTGCCCTTTAAATCTTCGCTTTTCGGCCGAGAGACTCCGAAGCTCGAGTTGCCCCAAGCCGTGTGTTAGGTCCGTTGAGCCCTGTACTGCGACTGCGGGAACCTCCTGCTCCACGGTGTTATTGTTGATGCACAAACCCGTGAATATTCTGGACAGTGACGTCAGTAGCACGGCCCTGTCAGTGGACTGTTGGTCCAGGCTCAGGGAGAGGCACGCTTGGTGCCCACCTTCAGCCTGGAAGCTGGAGCCGTGTGCACGAGGAGCACAGTTCTTCTCTGAAACGCAGGGTCGCCGTGAGTCAAAGCGGTTCCACGGCAACTGGTTTGGTTTGGTTTGGGGTTAACTTTGTTGCCTTTTGTCTACAGGGAAAGTTTCATATTAGTCTGCTCTCACCCGCTGAGGGCTCCACCCCACCCCACCCCCATCCCCACCGCTCTTTTAAACGGTCCCTCAGGGGTCACATCTGGGACGGCCCCTCTGAGCCCCTCCGTCCTCGTCTCTTCCAGGACCTTCTGGACCCAGCCCGGTGGCGGATGCTGATCCAGCAGTTCCGCTACGACAACTACCGGCTGCACCAGCTGGGCACCAGCTCCGTGTTCACCCTCACCCTGCAGGCTGGCCTCTCGGCCATCAAGACCCCGTATCCTTCCGGCCGCGGCTCTGCTCGCTTCAGTCTGCGGCTCACTTCTCCGATCTCGTCTTCATAGACTCCATCTCGCACCGCCTCAGCCTTGTTCTCTGCAGCGCAAAAGGAGGGGTGGTCACCCGCCTGGGTAAGGCCGGTGCTGTCACGGTCACACGAGGTGCAGACGGGCGCTAGGTCTGCCTTGTTGTACGAGGAGCCCTGCACGCGTGACACAGTCTCCACTTGGTCTCTGCGTGCGTGCGTGTCTCCCTCTCACAGCCGGAGCGATACTAGGTACACAATGTGTCGCTCTGTGAACACACCTTTTCCCGTAGACTGGCAGCTGTGACGTTAGCCTCTCAGGTGGCTTTGCCGAGTGCCCAGAGCATTTTAGTTGGTCTGAACCCTCAATGTCACGTCCAAGTTGCGTTTTGTTTCTTATCTCTTCAAATGAGCTCATACTGTGGCAGTTGCTGCTCCAGCAGAAGGCAGCCTCGCCTGTAGCAGTGAGCCCCTCAGCGCTCCGACTGGCACCTGCGGGTCCCTCTCACTACACACAGCCGAGGTGCAGTCAGGCTTCACAGGCCCCTCCACAGGTCCCCCCAGGACTGCTTCTGTGGTTTCTTCTCACCAGGTCTGCCGGGCGCCTCTTCTCCAGAGGCCGTTTGCCTCTTAGTCATTATCTGTCCTCAGCATCCTCGTCTGGATGCTGTCGGGCAGTCCCTCTGTGTGACAGGACTCATCACCCCTGCCCCAGAGGGTTAGTGGCTGTCCAGGAGCGCCCAGGACCTGGCAGTGCCCGGCCCCAGGCCCTTGCATTGCTCTCTCTGCTGTCAAGAGGTAGGCCACATTAGGTTGCCTCCATCCAGCCTTTGCTAAAGTCCACGAGAAATCCCTGACCAGGGCGGAGGGTTGGTGTACTTCCGCGGGATGGGAATGGGCGTGGTCCCTGAGGTCACATGCAGGAGAGGGTCCCTGGAGCGGGGGCGGCACTCTCGCCCCTGCTGTCCTGGGCTTGTGCTGCTGGAGCCTGGAGCCCTGGGGACCCGGCGCCTGTGGGTGCCCCAGGTCTGCTCTGTTTGACCCAGTAGAGTGCCAGGGCCCCAGCACCTGTGGGTGCCCCCCGGTCTGCTCTGTTTGACCCAGCAGAGCGCTGGGGGACCGGCGCCTGTGGGTACCCCGGGTCTGCTCTGTTTGACCCAGTGGAGCCCCGGGGGCCCAGTGCCTGTGGGTGCCCCAGGTCTGCTCCGTGTTTGACCCAGTGGAGCCCCGGGGGCCCAGAGCCTGTGAGTGCCCTGGGTCTGCTCTGTGTTTGATTCGGTGGAGCCCCGGGGGCCCAGCACCTGTGGGTGCCCCAGGTCTGCTCTGTGTTTGACCCGGAGGCTTCAGCGAGGCTGTTTTCCTGGTGGGTGTAAGTGTCGGCTTTGCCTTGACAAGTGAACATGTGTTGTTTCCTGCGTGGGGGTGGGGCAGGGGAGTGCACCAGCGCGTCCCGGTCCCACCTGCCCGCTGCCCACGGGCCCCGCCGAGTCTTCCTTAACCTGCCGCGCAGACAGTGCTACAAGGAAGACGGCAGCTCCAAGAGCCCCGACTGCCCCGTGTGCAGCCGGTCCCTCAACAAGCTGGCGCAGCCCCTGCCCATGGCCCACTGCGCCAACTCCCGCCTGGTCTGCAAGATCTCCGGCGACGTGATGAACGAGAACAACCCGCCCATGATGCTGCCCAATGGCTATGTCTACGGCTATAACGTGAGGGGCCCGGGGCGGGGGCTGAGGGCGGAACGGGGAGGGCGGGGCAGCACGTCCACGGCTGTAGAGTGAGGCGCGGGGGGCGGGGCAGCACGTCCACGGCTGTAAAGTGAGGCGTGGGGGGCGGGGCAGCACGTCCACGGCTGTAAAGTGAGGCGCGGGGGGCGGGGCAGCACGTCCACGGCTGTAAAGTGAGGCGTGGGGGGCGGGGCAGCACGTCCACGGCTGTAAAGTGAGGCGCGGGGGGCGGGGCAGCACGTCCACGGCTGTAAAGTGAGGCGTGGGGGGCGGGGCAGCACGTCCACGGCTGTAAAGTGAGGCACGGGGGCCGGGGCAGCTCCTGCCGTCCACGCTGCCACCCTGTCTGTCATTGGAAAGTGGTCAAAGGAGAGGTGAGGAACGACGGCTGAGAGGTCCCCAGGGTCTTCAGGAAGTAACTTTGGCAAACGCGGCGGTGTGCTCCCTGACGGCCCAGGGTGTGAGTTTTTAATGGGGGTTCATTCAGGCTCCACGTGCTGATCTTAATGTGTTCTGGTCTGTCTTTTCAGTCTCTGCTTTCTATCCGTCAAGATGATAAAGTCGTTTGCCCGAGAACCAAAGAAGTCTTCCACTTCTCACAGGCTGAGAAGGTGTACATCATGTAGGCGGTCGCCAGTGCGCGGCGGCTGGGGTGGCGGCGGGCAGCAGGCGCCCCCTCTCAGCCCCCACCTGCCACGGCGTCTTGTTTCCTGCGACCAAAGATCAGCGAGCGACGACAGATACCCATAGGAAGAGAGCAAATGCGATGTCATAAGTTTGTACTTGAAAACGTTTCGACTGGTAGGATTTTGTAACATACGCCAACTATTTGATGCTTCTGAAACGTACTTTCACCTTTCACAGGCGACCTTTCTTTACAGACGGACTTCAACACCGAGGGATACTTTTAGAATATTTCAAAAATAGCAATCGATGATTTCCCTCGTGGTTTCTCACAGTTTCCCTCCCTTTTTGCTAATAACGAGACTTGGGAAACGGGGGCTGGTTCTTCACCAGACTCGAGTCTGCTTCAGCCCTGGACCTGGCCAAGTGGTGACGTGAGGTGTGACCGGGGGTGTGTTGCAGCAGCCCTGGCGTGCCCCACAAGTGACATGACGGCTCCCTCCTGGAGCCGCTGCCAGACACCTGGCGCCTGCCTGCAAGCCCCCGAGGAGCCAGCCTCACGGGAACCCACCTGCCGCGCCAGGGCGTGCAAGCTACCGTCACACCGTGCGCGCCGCCTTACTTCCTGCTTTGAGAATGTATTCATGTGGAAATCCACTGGACCGAGTTTCTGCAGAGGCCTTGCCGGATGGTTCCATGCATTTAGAGTCAACCTTATTCATTACAGAAACAATTCAGTCGAGACAACTACCGACGATCTTCTAGACACCCCGTGGTAGCTGGCACAGAACCATGCTGTAGAGGTTTGTATTTAGTGCTTATTTTTGCATGTTGATGTTGATTAGCTAATAAACTGTAAATGTAAAACATGTTAATAAAATTGTTTTCTATTTCTTATTTCTGTGTAAAAAGGAGGCTGCTATTGGGTTCTGTTTTTCCTCACCCTCGGCCCCAGTTTCGTTTTCCGGCCCTTTCTCCTGACCCGGTCAGTGAGCGGGCAGCGTCCCCTCCCACCCAGCCTCTGGGTTTCCTGGCCACAGTGGCCAGCACGGGGCCTGGGTCTGTCACACACAAGTGGCGCGCCTGCTCTGTCAGTGCCTCAGCAGCTGTGGTTCTCGCGACGTGAGCCCCCACGCGCCAGCCCTCCTGAGAGGGCTGCTCACGTCTCACTTCAGCCGCCCTCTGGGGCATCACCAAGGATGTGGTGACTGGGGGTCCAGGAAGGATCCCGGTTGTCCTGCTCCCCAGGCGCCTCCCTGCACCGCTCAGGTCCTTTAGGGTCGTCTGAACCCAAGCGTGCCCCCTGCTGAGTGGGCGAGAGGCTGACAGTTCCCAGTGCCACGGCCATATCACTGAGGCTCCTCTCTGGATCCAGGTCCATTTCAGCCAGAACTGTGGCCTGCAGTGGCCTCTGGGCAGCCCCAGGCTGTGCTGGTCACTCCCCTGCACAGTCTCCACGGTGTGAGGCTCTGTGGGAAGCAGACGCCTCCCTATCTCCCCCTCGGAGCTCCCCTCTGCTGGCATGGCCGGTGAAGGCACTGCTAGGTGTGTTCCTGAGGCAGCTGCGGTCTCGGTGAGGGCTCCCCACACAGTGGGTTCTGCCCTTGGGGAGGGCCCGCTCATCTGCTCCAGCCCCAGCAGCTGAGAACTGGCTGGCTTCCTTCTGCACATCCCTCTTGATCAGCATCACTTCCCTGATTGCAGCCAAAGGCACCCCAGAATACAGCGAGAGGCCCCACTGGCCTGTCTACAAAAAGGACAATTAGTACCGCCAGCAGGGTGTGTCCTGGAGGGGCCGCTTCCTGCTGGCGGCGCTCAGACTCGCCTGCGCCATGCATGTCTGTCTGCCTGCCAGTGCAGGGGCCCTGAACTGGGAGAGCACCCACATCCTGGTGTCCCTGCCCCAGCCCTCCCAGTTCAGATTCGCGGAGCCGTCTCCAGCTGCTGCGTGTCTGCGACTCCATCCCTGGCTACTAGGACCTGCGGGGCAGCCAATGGAGACAGGCGGGTCGTCATCTGTTGTGGGCCCAGGATCGGGCCGCAGCCACCAGTGAGCCGGGGTCTGGGGTCCTGAGGCCAAGGGCTGGGCCTAGGGAGGCTTGTGGCTGCTGCGGTCAGCCTGGGGCCACCTGCCCTACCATCCACGAGGTGGCTACCAGGGCCTGGACAGCTGCTGGCTTCCTGCCCTCTCGGCCCCCCACAGCCCTCTTTCAAGAGCTGCCCTCTCGTGGCCGCCTGGCCTGTCCCCTCCGTTCTCTCCTTCAGCAGCACGGCGCCTTCCTTGAGTGTGCATGCTGGATCCCCAGCCCAGGGCCTCCCCATCTGCCCTTCTCAGTGCAGGGCGCAGGTTCTCCACAGCTCCTTGTGGTGGCTCCTTGAGGTGGCTGTGTGATGCTGTTTGCTGTCCGTCCCCTGCCACCATGCAAGCTCCACCAGGAGAGGCACTGTCCTGTTGTGTCCCACTGCTCACACCTAGACCCCCAGTGCCGGCCTGGCCTGGCACAGAGAAGGCTTGGCCGCCCCATGCCATAAAGCCACGCCCTCACCCCCGGCCTCCTCCAAACTCACCTGGAGGACCCAGCTCCTGACTCCTCTGTCCCCACACCTCTGTTCCAGCTGTGGCCTCCTGGCCCCCTGCACACTCTGGCCTCCCTCCTGTGAGCCTCCAGCGAGGCTCTGCTGTGGCTTGGGTCCCTGAGAAACAAGCTTCGTCCCCATTCCATCTTCCCTGGATGAACGCATCCCTCTTTGTTGAGAAAGCAAAAGCCAAGGCCAGGTCCCCACCTCGCCCCAGCAGCTTCTGACCCCTCAGTCCTCCTTGACTCACCTGCTCAGCCCCTCTCCCCCAATCCCGACTCTAGGCCCCACTAGGTCCAGCAGAGTCACCTCTGAGCCACCTTGTGAACCCCGCTTCCTCCATCGAGGTGGGCACGGCATGCCACCCCTGCCACACCCTAGGGGATGATCCAGCCACCCCTCACCAGACATCCCACTTCAAAGCCCTCCAGCCCCAGTCTGTCCTCACACAGCCACTTTTTAATGGTTCTATTTTATTTTTTATTAGTAACCAAACCACAGAAAAGTGCCTTTTCAAAAAGCTAGCACTCCGCCCTCCTCCCTTGAGTCCCACATGTCAAGGCAGTGTGTATGTCTGCACGCTTCCCGTTGTCCATGCAAACATTGTATGTTTTCTTGAAAAACGTGATCACATCTGTGCCATACTCTGCAATGTACTTTAACCACTTCCAGTATATCAGACGTCCTTCAAGATTAACAGACACGGTCACGTGCCATGTGATGTCTGGGCAACGTCCGACCACATAGATGTGCATGGTCATTTTTGTTTCTTTTGAAATTTGATTATTTATTAGAACTCTTTAAATTCGTATTTGCAAACATGTAATACAGGAAAAGAAAAAAATCCCACCCCATCATTCTTAACCCAGGGGGTAGAAGCAGGACCCGTAAGAACAGGGTTCAAGACAGGGCTTCGCCTTTCACCTCTGCATGGCTCCCACCCCAGGACACGAACTAGCTTCAGAGCTTGCTAAGCCCGACCTGCGCAGCATCCGGAGCCTGCTGACTGCTGGCCTCCCTGGCTGCCTTGGAGCCTGCTGGAAGTTTCATCCATGGTGCAGCAATAGTTCGTTCTTTGTATTGCTGTGTAGCGTTCCAGGCTATGAATATGGTCCAGTGATTTATCTGTTGCACAAACTGGCGGACATCTGGGTTGTTCCCAGATTTTGGCTACTGTAGATTCAGCTGCTATAAACACACTTATACATATGGACGTTTACTGGATATATAGAGTGTATAATAAACATACTGATATCACAGTACAATAGTACACACACGTATACACATACACACTCAGAGTGTACACACTGTGTATTTCTGTGGGGGCATACCCAGGAGTGGAATTTCTGGGTCATATTTTTAACTTTAGTAGATACTGACACGCAGTTTTCCAAAGTGGTTACACCCGCCTTACACCCGGACCAGCAGTATCTGAGAGTTCAGCTGCTCCACACCCTCACCAGAACTTGGCATTGGGAGTCTTCTTCGTTTTAGACGTTCTGTTGCTCGTGTGTGTTATCTCACTGTGGAGTTTTTTTGTTTTTTAATTGAGGTAAAAATTGCATACATTGAAATGGACAGATCATAAGTAAATAATGCTCTGAGTTTTGATAAATGTATACACACGTGTATCCACCACCTAGGTCAAGGTATAGAAGAGTTCCATTGCCCCAGAAAGTTAGTTACTTTGTGTATTAGTTTCCTACAGCTGCAGTAACAACGTATCATTAAATGGATTGCTTAAGACATGAGTAATTCATTCTCTCACAGTTCTGGAGGCTAGAAGTCTGAAATCAAGTTGTTACCAGGACCATGCTCTCTCCAGAGCCTCTAGGAGAGAATCCTCCCTTGCCTCTCCCAGCTTCTGGTGGCCCCAGGCACTCCTTGGCTTGTGGCAGCATCACTCCAGTCTCGGCCTCTCTCTTCTCGTGGCATCTTCCCTCTGTCTTGTGTCTTTTCTCCCCTTCTTATAAGGCTACCAGTCCTATTGGATTAAGGGTCCATCCTACTTCAGTATGACCTCATCTTAAACAATTACATCTGCAACAACCCTGTTTCCAAAAAAGGTCACAGCATGAGGTTCCAGGCAAAACACAATTTTTGGGGGGGGGGGGCGGGGCAGGGAGACACTATCCAACCCAGTGGACCTTGTACCTTCTTCCAGGCTATCCACACCCCTTATACACAGTCATTGTTTTGATTTTTTGCCTTCATGTAAATCAAATCATAGAGTATGAACGCTTTTGTGTCTGGCTTGTTCGACTCAACATAATGCTTCTGTGATTCATCCATGTTGTTGTATATATCAGTAGTTTTGTTTGTTTGTTTGCTCTTGCTGAGTAGCATTCCATGTTTAAATATACCACAATTTGTTTATCCATTCTCTTCTTGATACACATTAGCATCCTTTCCGCTTTTTGGCTATCATGAATAAACCAGCTATGAACATTTGTGTACAAGCCTTTGTATGTGTGTGTGTGTGTGTGTGTGTGTGTGTGTGTGCTTTAAGTGAAAGTTTACAGTTCAAGTCAGTTTCTCATACAAAAATTTATACACACACTGTTATGTGACCCTAGCTACTCTCCCTATAATGTGACAGCACACTTCCCCTTTCCACTCCAGATTTCCCGTGTCCATTCAACCAGCTCCTGTTCTTTTTTGCCTTCTCATCTCACACTCCGAGACAGGAGCTGTCCATTTAGTCTCATGTATCTACTTGAGCTAAGAAGCACTCTCTTCACGAGTATCATTTTATGTCCCATAGTCCAGTCTAATCTTTGTCTGAAGAGTCGGCTTTGGGAATGGTTTCAGTTCTGGGCTAGCAGAGATTCTGGGGACTGTGTCTTCTGGGGGCCCTTCAGTCTCAGTCAGACCATTAAGTCTGGTCTTTATACTAGAATTTGAGTTCTGCACCCCACCTTTCTCCTGCTCCATCCGGAACTCTCTGTTGTGTTCCCTGTCAGGGCGGTCATTGGTGGTAGCCGGGCACCATCTCGTTCTTCTGGTCTCAGGCTGATGGAGTCTCTGGTTTATGCGGCCTTTTCTGTCTCTTGGGCAAATATTTTCCTGTATGACCCTTTTTGTGGACATTATTTTTATCTCTTTTGGTTAAATATCTGACAATGGAATTATTGAGTCATAGTGTTGGTCTATGTTTAATTTTATAAAAACGGCCAAAGATTTTTCTGAAGTGTTCATATCATTTACACTCACCAGCAGGGTTCCAGTTGTGCCACATCTTCGTCAACATTTGGTGCTGTCATTCTTTTCAATGTTAGCCATTCAGGTGGGTGAGGAGTGGTGTCTCACTGTGGTTTTGTGTTCTCCTCATGACTAATGATGTTGATCACCTTTTCATGTGCTGATTGGCCATTCATATATTTGTTCAAGT